ACGGACAACTCGATCTACAACGCTGCAAGACACACATCGCGGCATGGAACATCGCAATTCAGCGCGGCGCAACGCAGCACAGCCCTCGGCACGGTACGTCAAGACCGATACACTCAGCATTGTAACCTGGCACGTTCCATGGTGCGTCGCCTGGCACGTTTCCCTGGCACGTCGCGCGGCGCGTCCCCTGGCACGTCCCGTGGCGCGTCCATTGGCACGTTCCGTAGCGCGTCCCCTTGGCACGTTCCGCGGTGCTTCCCCATGGCACGTCCCCTGGCACGTCTCATGGCGCGTCCCTTGGAACGTTCCGCGGCACGTCCTCCTGGCATATCCCCCTGTCAGTTAGCCCTGGGGCAGCTACTATGTGCAGGCAGCTCGGGCTTAAGATCCAGATCAGTTCGGTCAGGACTCGGATGCACAGGAAGACTCAGGAGGACTCGATGTACAACGCTACAGAGCACAATCGCCGCATGGCACATCGCAATTCAGCACGATGCAGCGCCAGACAGCCCTCGGCACGATACGTCAAGGTCAATACACTCAGCATTGCATGCGCCCGTCGCCCAATCATGTATCATTGGAAACGCTGCCATGCCTTACACTTCTAGATTCCGTTCCGGGTTCGTGGGTCGGTCATGGTTTACGTGCAGCGAATGGTTGGCGAGGAGAGCAAGTTCTGGGCCCAGGGGCCTGCCCCTGGGACCAGCTCTTCATCACACGTGAGCTGTTTTTGGCGGTCACGGGGGCCCGAGCATGGCGAAACAGCCGCCCCTGCCAGCCGTGAGATTACACCAGCGAAAGCCTCGAGCCTATGCTGCAGAGGCCCGAGGGAGAAAAGAGGAGGCCACGGCGGCATCATATGGCGACGAGGACCTCTTGGCCATTACTGCGCCACACCGCGCGTCCACCCTCCGCCACGGTGGTGCCAACGGCGAAACGCTCTCCAGGACCCTCGTTGCCTGCAGGACCCGCTCCCTTCTTTCCTGAATCGGCTTGTAGGGCCTCCTCCCTGGCGCGCGGCGCTTACCTCCGCATGTTTATGCTTTGCCCTCTCTTCCTGCGAATCGGTATCGCCACCTTCCTGCTTTTGAGGATCCCGCGCTGCGGATCGAGCGCAGGCCACGCGAGACAACGGCGGCGCTCCCGCCCCGCCCACAAACACTCAAAAACGGCTCCTGGACCCTTCCAGGGGTCCATTCTGACGCGCTGTCCGATGCGGATCCAGCCGTGGCGACGAGAAGCCTCCAGGGCCCCCCCACGAGGACAACCTCACGCAAGAGTGACCCTGGGTAGGAGTGACCTTTGGTGCGCGGCTTTTGGGGGGCCGCGGGGGGACCAAACACAGGCGCGCAAGGCGCTACCATCGCATCGCGTTCGGCGATCGGAGGGGGCCCCACGGGGCCCGCACCGAAGGCCACTCCAGCGAAAGGTCACTCTTACGTCCAGTCGACCTCCCACAGGGACCAGCCTCACGCGGGGGAGTGCCGCGGTGCCCTCGACGGGCCTCCCTCTTTCCTCCGCCTCGCCCTCCCCCCTTCGGAGGACACCCCCTCGGCCGGCCAGGCTGTGCGGCGACGGGCTCTCCTCGGGCGGGCGGGCAAGGGGGATCTAGCACGAAGTCGGGCCTGTCCCTCTACAAGGGGGATATATTCAAACATAATCAAAGCATCCCAGTGCGAGCCTACCTAGGAGCAGTGAGCAAAGTATAATCAAATTATCCCAGTGAGCATTTAGGAAAGCAACATCTACATCTACACCGACAGCTACATGTACATCTACACCTGCATCTACATCTACATCAACATGAACAGCGAGACTCACAGCTACATCTACACCTACATATACATCTACATCTACATCTACACCTACATCCATGTCTACACCTACACCTGCATCTACATATACTTCTACACGTTCGCATTGGTGTTGCGTTTGCGTTGCATTGCCTTGGCTGTTGCTATTGCCGTTGTTTGTTTGCGTTTGCCTTTGCCTTTGCTGTTGCTTTTGCTGTTGCATTTGCATTTGCTGTTGTTTTTGCGATTGCTATGCTATGCTGTGATATGCCGTGCTGCGCTGTGCTATTCTTAGCAATGCTGTGTTATGCTATGCTATGCTATGCCATGCTGCGCTATGATATGCTATGATATGGAATGCTAGGCTATGCTATGCTGAGCTATGCTATGCCATGCTTGGCTATGCTATGCTATGCTAGGCTGTGCTAATGCTGCGCTGCGCTATGCTGCGCCATGCTGCGCTAAGGTAAGCTAAGCACTGCTAAGCTAAGCTAAGCGAAGCGAAGCGAAGCGAAGCTAAGCTAGGCTAGGCTAGGCTAAGCTAAGCTACGCTAAGCTGAGCTAAGCTAAGCTAAGCCAAACTAAGCTAAACTAAGCTAAGCCCAGCTAAGCTAAGTTGATATGATATGTGCTAAGCTAAGCTAAGCTACGCTAAGCTAAGCCAAGCTAGACTAAGCTAAGCTAGGCTAGGCTAGGCAAAGCTAAGCTAAGCTAAGCTAGGCGAATATGAGATAAGCTAAGCTAAGCTTAGTTTAGCTAAGCTGAACTAAGCTAATCTGGGTGAACCCAGGGGGCGCAACTGGGGGAACCGCGGGCCGGATCCTGGGGGAACTGCCCGGGGCGATTTCCACTGCCCTGCCCTTTAAGCACACAGAGTAAAAACCCTTCTAGGCAGAGCCTAGGTAGGGAATAAAACTGAGCTAAGACAAAGCGACGCTAAGCTAAGATGAAATAAGCTAAGCTAAGATAAGATAAGCGACGCTAAGCTGAGGGGACGTAGCTGGGGTAACCGCGGAGCGGATCCTGGGGGAACCGCCCGGGGCGATTTCCACTGCCCGGCCCTTTAAGCACACAGAGTAAGAACCCTTCTAGGCAGAGCCTAGGTAGGGAATAAAACTGAGCTAAGATGAAGCGAAGCTAAGCTAAGATGAAATAAGCTAAGCTAAGATAAGCGACGCTAAGCTAAGGGGACGTAGCTGGGGGAACCGCGGAGCGGATCCTGGGGGAACCGCCCGGGGCGATTTCCACTGCCCGGCCCTTTAAGCACACAGAGTAAGAACCCTTCTAGGCAGAGCCTAGGTAGGGAATAAAACTGAGCTAAGATGAAGCGAAGCTAAGCTAAGATGAAATAAGCTAAGCTAAGATAAGCGACGCTAAGCTAAGGGGACGTAGCTGGGGGAACCGCGGAGCGGATCCTGGGGGAACCGCCCGGGGCGATTTCCACTGCCCGGCCCTTTAAGCCCACAGAGTAAGAACCCTTCTAGGCAGAGCCTAGGTAGGGAAAGATAGTCTAGGGACGACTTTGTTTGACCATCTTTGGCCATTTGGGGGGTATTTTTTAGGTGTGTTTAATCTGTCGTCCAAAATCCCCCTGTAGGGGGACACGCCCGACCTAAGTATGGCAGAAGGGGGCTGGGGGCTGGGGCGCCTCTGGCTCCGGAAGCGCCCGTGCGTCGAGGCACGCACCCGGCGGCGGAGCCGCAGCCAGGTGCACGCACCGGATCTCGCAACCCCACCCGATGGGCCGATGTCCCAACACCGCTGCCATGTGTAAGAAGTGGGAGAAAGGAGGATGGGAAGGTCTTCCTCCTCCTCCTCCTCCTCTTCTTCTTCTTCTTCTTCTTCCTCTTCCTCTTCCTCTTCCTCTTCCTCCTCCTCCTCCTCTTCCTCCTCCGCCTCCTCCTCCTCCTCCTCCTCCTCCCTCTCCTACCTGTGGTAGTGGTTGTGGAAACTCGGCCCAGCACACTTCTTTGGCAGCTCAAGGATGGGGCTCCGAGGGATTGAGACCTGAGGACGAGTGGCCTCAAGCAGTGGGTCCGCTTCCTATCCTTTCGGCCCCATCCCTCGGGGCTCCACCGCTGAATCGCCAGCATTCCCCCGACTCGCTCTCCCGCACCAGCACCAAGACGGCCCATATAGGGCCCAACGAGGCTAACAACAGCGAAACACCGCTGGACCCGTCTCCTTCATAGTGTGTCTCGATGAGACGGTCGCAAATCAACATCTGAACCTGTACTGGACTGTGTTCTGACCAGCTTTTTCGAAGGGGAGGGAATCCGGCCGTGGCGACGAGGGCGCCCCAGGAGTCACAACAAGTCACCAACGAGGAGGAACCGTGAAGGGCCATGCGATAAAAGGCGCGATGGTCAGGGGTGGGAGTTGTCGGACCCCGAGGGGGGCTCCCCTTCGAGCGGGGATCCCCATCCGACAACACACGCCCATAGCACCCCCCCAGACTTCCACCCCGAGATATCGGGGGGGCCACATGGGTATGGGTGCTAAGTGTCAGTTCCTGAGTCCTTGCTTTATAGTAGCCCTTCCTGGCGGCACGCACGAGGGTGGAACGCGTCTTAGAAGGAGGCCGCTTATTTGAAGGTGCTGGCCCCGCATCTACAGACAAAACCCACGTCTTCTAAGAAGCAGAGTTGTGGATGCCATGACACTGGACACACTAACAATCCCATCATTGAATTACAGGTGTGTTTGAGATGTGTAAACCATGTTCGAAACATGTTTAACACATGGTTTTTCACATGTATAGAACATGTTAGCACATGCTTTAGACATCTGAGAATTATTTGGCAACATGCCTCCTCTCCATTGATCGTCCTCCACAAAAGCAGAGGTGCTTCTAAGATGCCTTCCCCCCTTCCCCCTGCACCCAGGGGCCTTCCCCCAGGACGCGTCCTCCATCCTGAATCGTTTTCTGACGGTCCCAGGGCCCGTGGAGGGCCTCGAGCGCCCGACAACGGCGACAAACCTCAGGACCTGCTTCCCTCACGACACGCCTCCCCCACGGCGAGCTCTCTTGACTACCTACCAGACCACCCCAACCCAACCCGAAGACCCGAATTTTGGGTTGGGGGGGGGTCGGGTTCCATATGTGTTTTCCCAATGTTCCTGGACCCCCCCACACTGGAAACAGATGGCAAACTGAAGCCTTCGGGTTGGGTTGGGGTGATATGGTGGGTGGTGATTTCCAGCGGCCCTTTCGTCCCACCCGCTCTCCCGCACCGGCACCAGCCGCACGCGCCTCTCGGCCCACAGCGCCATCGGCTGCGGCGCGCGCGGGCCGCCGCCGGTCGCCGGCGGGGCCTGCGCCGCCCGGGTGCCTCGGGCCAGTCGGCCCAGGGGCCTGGCCTCTGAGGAGAAGACTCGCCCGAAGGGGGGTGGACAGAGGAGGGCCAGCAGGCGCAGGCAGGACGTCCCACCCGCCACCACGCCATCACATGATGGACGGATGCAGGCACATGGCCCAAGCAAGCGGAAAACCATGTCTGGGCGTGCCGGCCCATCCTTGGTGGACGCCAGCGTGTCGCGCGTGTTGCCTTACCTGGTCTGCCAGGCCCGGCCTCTGAGGTGGTGGAGGGGGAGGTGGCCAGTGCAGGAGGCAGTACCCTGCTTGGATCGCCGTGGGAGTTGCCAAAAGGCTAGGGGGGTCAGAAGCGGATGCTATGAGGTGGTTATACCTGGCGCTCATAACTGGGTTACAACCGCGCTACGCGGCCGAGGGTAATGAAATAACTCCTCTAAGTTGGCTTCGCCCAGCTGGCCCAGAACTCTACGCCCGCAGGCCTGGCCCTCGCCGAGAGAAGAAAAAAAAACACGCGTCCGAGCGATGCCAAGGGACAAGGAGGGAGCGCGGCGAGGGCAGCCATGCTCGCTCTTCGTGGTGCGCTGAGCGCGAGCAGCGTAGCGCTCTCATGTCGCCCGCCCGGGGGGAAAGAGGACGAAAGGGAAGAGGAGGATCGGAAAGGAGGGAACATGGTGAGGAATAGGGGCAGTGGGGCCCGCGTAAATAACCAGCACCGACGATGACGACGCCGACGTCGACGCCGACGAGCAGAGGAAGAAAAGGAGGACGGGCAATCGCGAGCCGCGAGCCGCAAACAACTTGGCGCGCCTTCGTCGCGGCCGTGTGGGGCGGAAAAGGAGGGGGGGGGGACAACAGGGGGGGGGGCTGGGACCGTCGTCTGGCTGTGGGCCCTCATGGGGTGCCCTGGAGGACTTCGAAGCCGAAAGCCCAGGGAAGGCGTACTCGCGCGGACCCGGCGTGTCCCCACGAGATTCGGAGGCCTTCCCAACGGCTTCCAAGTATTCGGAAGGCAAGGGAGAGACGAGGAACGGGGGGGGGGGGGGGGGCAAGCGGAGGCCGGATAAGGGGCGGCCCCGAGGTAGCAGGACTCACACGTCGGAGCAGAACCGGGGCGGGCAACACTTGGCGCTGAGGTGCCCATCAGAAGGGGCCGTCTTGCCACCCAAGCGGAGGATGAGAAGTCGGGGGGGGAGTGGAGGCGAGAGGGGGGGGGGGCCGCGCAGAGGATGAGACAGGGAAGGCACCCATCAATGGGGAGGGAAGGGAGCGGGAAAGGGGACGGGGAGGGCCATCCTCGGACGTCCACTCCAGGTCTCCTCCTCTGTTACCTCTCCTGCCTCCTCTCACCGCACTCCTCCTCCCCTCTCCTTCTCCTCTTCTTCGTCCCCCTTCTCCCCCGCCTCCCTGATGCCCCCTGCTCCCTCCGCCCCATGTCTGCTTCTTCCCATTTTCAGGTGCCATGTTTGAAGCCTAGGTGCCCTTCGAAGAAGCTCCCACGCCTTCTTAGACGGGCGCCCCCCTCGGGCCAACCCCTTGTGCGCGGCGACAATCCATTCTCAGGACCTGTCTGCTTTCATCTTGACTGCGTCGTCTTTCGATGGCCCCGGGGCCCAAAGACGGCCCCTGCAAAGACCATACATTGTGAAACGCCAGCCGCCTCAAGTTGTTCGAGCCGCCATTTGCAGTCCGAAAGCGGTGCGGTGGCAGGCGGTGCGGTGACCTCGAGACGCCAAAATAAATCACTGCACCGTCCGCCACCGAACGGCTTTGGAACCTCGGAGGCCCCAGTCGCCCGAGACATCCTCGCAGAGACCGGGCCAAGTCCCCAAAAACGTGCAGCCACCCAGAATTCCCACCGACTCACCCGACGGTGTGGCCACAGCATCGTCTCTGAACTTCTGAGCAGAGTGTCTGGACCCCCAACTCGGCTACACGCGGCAGTGACCATAGGCAAGAGAGACCTTCGGTGCACGGCTTCGAAGGGGCGCGGGGGGTGGGGGGGGGGGGCAAGCCCGAACGTGCAAGCCGCTGTCATCGCGCCACCGTCAACCTGCTGGGGACCCCAGTGTGCTCGCACCAAAGGTCGCTCCAGCGAAAAGTCACTTACGGTAGGAACGCGCGGCGTCGGCGCGCGCACAGGTTTTTGACACCGTGTCGATCGTTCAACCTGGATCCGATCGCGGCCCCGATCGTTCAAGTTTGAATTCAGTCGGGGCCCGTGGCGTCAGTGTCTATCGGTGCTTCCGCGTCGCAGAATTCAACTTTGAACGCCTTCGCCGGCGTTGCCGGCGCGCCAACGCCGCGCGAACCTACCGTATACGCGTGTCCGACCACCCCTCGCGGCGACGATGGCGGCACCGGCCGGCGGCGGCAGTGCCGCCGCCGAGGGCGGCGGCGACAGCTGCCAGAGGCCCCCCCCCGGGCCCGCCGGCGCTCCGAGACCCGCGAACGCCCCGTGGCCGCCCCTGTCCGGTGGCGCGAAGCGGCCCAGGGCACCCTGCGGGCAGGGGGGGGGTCTGGCCCCGTGCTGCCACCAGGCAGAAGATTGCGATGATGATCGGCTTTTGTCTTGTAATGATGGCGGCGGTGATGATGACGACGGTGATGGTGATGGTGATGGTGATGGTGATGGTGATGGTGATGGTGATGGTGATGGTGATGGTGATGGTGATGGTGATGGTGATGGTGATGATGGTGATGGTCATGCAAATGCTGATGCAGATGTTGATGCTGATGATGATGCTGATGATGGTCGCTGGCGTCATGGTCATCGTCCTCGTCCTCGTTGTCCTTCTCATCCTCCTGCTCCTCTTCTTCACCTCTTCCGCCTCCGCCTCCTCCTCCTCTTCCTCCTCCTCCTCATCATCTTCATCCCCATCCTCATCTTATGTTGCTCCCATCGTACTTAAGGGCCCATCCTAGAATTAATTTCGAGCACCTGGAAATGTGTCGAAACAGTTGCGAAACAGTGTCGTCGAACAAGTGTCGGACGAGTGTCTCCCAGGGCCCGACGCGTAAAAACCCTAGAGTTTCGGTACTTTTTTTCTGGTGCTCGAAATTATTTCTGGTGATCAAGGCTAAAGCAGGTTTGAACATCCTCATCCTCATCCTCATCCTCAGCTTCCTCGTCCTCATCCTTATCATCCTCATGATCGTGCTCCTCCTCGTCCTCGTCATCATCATCACCATCATCGTCATCAACATCAGCAGCAGCATCATCGACATCACCATCAGCATCATCAGCATCATAGCATCATCAAATTCATCATACTCATCGTAATCGTCGTCGTGGGTATCAGCATTGGCATCATCAGCAGCATCATCATGATCATCAGCATTCGCATCGGCAACATCATCATACTCATAATACGATGCATCATCGTCAGCATGACCATCATGAACATCAGCATCGGCATTCTCATCAGCGTCATCTTCATCATCATCAGCATCATCATACTTCTCATCGACATCAGCATCACAGGTTACAGCATCATCATCATCATCATCATCATCATCACCATCATCATCATCATCACCATCATCATCATCATCATCATCATCATCATCATCATCATCATCATCATCATCATCATCATCATCATCATCATCATCATCAGCATCATCATCATCATCATCATCATCATCATCATCATCATCACCATCACCATCACCATCATCATCATCATCATCAGCAGCATCAGCATCAGCATCAGCATCAGCATCAGCAGCATCATCATCAGCATCATCATTACCATCAACATCACGAGGGAACGTGTAAACGGATGGAAGTCAACGGTGGAGCAAGAGACGGGCGCCGATGGACGGTTGCAAGTAAGTGGCCCTGAAGAGGCCCTAAGGCAACCCTAACCTACCACCGCGGTCCCGAAACGTACTGGAAACTTGCGCCTTTCATCATTCCCGCTTCTTCACCCCCGAACCCTTGGCCGTCCGCAATAAACAAAACAACACATCATGAGGGCGAGCAACATGGCCAAAAGTGATTATCAAGGCCAGGCCGCTGGACTGCTCACCATCAGCCCGAGCTCAAATACCTGCCCCAAGGGAAACCCTGATGGACCCTGGGATCCCGCGAATGCGGTCAGGCAGCCTCCTAACCCCCAGGGGAGGAGGAGAAGGAGGAAGAGGAGTAGAGGGGGAGGATGGATGAGGAGGATGAATGGAGGGCGAGGGGGGAGGGAATGAGGAGGGCGGGGAAAGAGGAGGGAGAGGAAAGAGGGAAGCGGAGAGGGAGCCTCAAGCTTGTAAGTACTGTGGGGTGCCGTCCCGCCATTCGGAATCGGCGTTGCATCAAGGTCTAGCACCGCGGAGCCCCTTCCTACCCGAGTTCGGATCTGCTTCGGAACCTGGGAGGCGGGATACCCACCGTTCAAAGGAGGAGGAGGAGGAGGAGGAGGAGGCGGCGGCCCCCCTCCCCCTACCCCTCATTTGGGGATCGCTTCTCCGCCTCCCCGCCCGCCCTCCTCTGGAGGGCGGGCAGGGAGGAGGGGCAATCCTCAAAACAACCCCCCTGCGGCTGCTTTGAAGGCCCGTTCCCCGCGGGGTCTCCTGCTGCCGTTCAGGCGGAGGAGGAGGTGGAGGAGGGGGTGGAGGAGGAGGAAGAGGAGGAGGAGGAGGAGGAGGCGGAGGAGGCAGCCCCCCTCCCCTCCCCCTCCCCCACCTGCGACTGCTTTGGAGGCCCGTTCCCCGCGGGGCCCCTGTCCATTGTGACGGGCCTCCTCTGCTGCCGCTCCGGCGTTCGGTTGTGCTTGCCGCCCAGTGTCTCTTCCGAGGCCTTCTCGGAAGCTTTCAAAGCATCTTGTACGTTCCAAAAAAAGAAATAAAGGGAGGAGGAAAAGGTAGTGGAGGAGGCGGAGGAGGAGGAGGAGGAATGGAGGAGGAGGAGGAGGAGGAGGAGGAGAAGGAGGAGGAATGGAGGAATGGAGGAATGGAGGAGCAGGAAAAGGAGGAGGAGGAGGCGGGGGAAAAGACGACCTGCGAGGGCAGCCCAAGACGGCA